ATCTCACTCACCTGGAAAGAGAAATGAGGTCACACTGCCTGCCGCTGTCGGTGGCTCAGGGAAATCCAGAAGTTTCTCGGACACTGTAAACGTATTATCCTTGCTTCTTATTGCAATAATTAAGTTAGAAAAGTGCTAATTGGAAGAGCCACACAGAACCGGACACATGAACTCGGAGACTGCTGTGATTTAACAAAGTAAGTCTGGAGCTCTGACTCCAGAGTGAAATATAGCACATAGAAGCATCAAGGCCCAAAACACAGGGGGCACTGACGGCTCACCAGCCGCACGGGAGACCCCAAGGAACTATTAGAATCGAAATACTCAGACCGTGCCTATGCACAGGGAAAACCACATGGGGTCAGTGGGGTTAGCGGAGCAAAACCCACGTGAATGTCGGTGCTCCTGCTCACCTCTGTCTGGTAGACGTCGTACAAGTACCCCACCCCACTGGAGTAAAACTGGCACCTTCCCGTGGTGAGGGGCCTCGGTTCCTAGAGAAACAGATAAACACAGATGGAATAAAACAGGAGCCTCCAGGCGGGAGAGGCCAGAGGCAATTTCAGGCCTGTAGGTCTCAGGCTCAGGGCCTCAGGGACCAAGGCCAACACCAACTCGAGCCTCCCAGACAAAACTGAAGACGGGAGACGCCACGCTCCCTGCAGAGCGGCTGGGCTGCTGCATCCAGGAGGCCAGACAGCAGAAAGTCCCATGGGAGGGTATCTCGGCTATGCAGGCTTGGCCGACACATATTCTCCATCAGTCAAGGGCAGCAGGAGGGAGACAGGTGCTTGGCCTTTTGAAGGGCATCCCAGCACCCCACACCACAGGTGTTAGGCTCCTGCACCGTTTCATAAAAAAAATATTGTCTCTTCTACTAGGAAGGTAACAGGAAGGATTTCAGACTAATAAACTCATCCCTCCAACCATCCAATCATCCACCCACCCACCCAACCATCCATCCAATCATCCAGTCAATCATCTATGCACCTACCCATTCTTCCTTCCATCCTCCACATCTATCTATTCATTCATCCATCATGTACCCATCCTTCCATTCATCCACATCCATGCATCCACCCATCTGTCATCCATCCTTCCATCCTTCCATCTATCCATCCATCATCCATTATCCATCCTTCTATCCATCATCCATCCTTTTATCCATCCACATCCATCATCCATCCTTCCATTCATCTACATCTATCCAACCACTCATGTCATCCATCCTTCTATCCATCATCCATCATCCATCCATTATCCATCCTTCCATTCATCCACATCCATCTATCCATC